TATATATATATATATATATATGTGTGTGTGTGTGTGTGTGTGTTTTGTTTCTTTGCATATATGATTTATTCTGAAGCAATATTTTCATCAGTTATCTATCAGCTGTGACATATAAATCTGCGTGTTTTTTATATTTTATATTTTAATATTTTTTGCCTTTATAGAGGGCATTTTCCCAATAATTAATTTAATACTTTCATTTCAAATTCTTACATTTGATCCATAACTTCAATAATAATGATTATGTGATCTATACGTTATCAAATTAAATCATTTACACTGAAATATACAGCTGCATTAAATAATATTATGAGATTCGTTTCAATATTTTTGAATATACAAACAAGAAATGATGGTGGAAATTATACTTTTCAACTAAATTAAAACGCCAGTAGGTGCCAGTATGAGCATTTAATGAGTGAGTCATTGAGTCATTCATTCAAACGATTCTTTCAAACGGCAGATTCATCAGATGTTTATGCATGGGCTAATGAAAATTTGACTCAACTGATTCGTTTAAAACACGGAATCATTCAGCAATGAATCGACTGTTTGCTGTGAGATGCGCTGTGTTTCCGCCTAATATGTAAGTGACCTAATATTATTGTATTTGCTTATTGAACTGTTTATAGAACTATTAAACAGTCGTAATGGTGAAAACGTTGTGTGATGTTGCCTAACTAACTGTATTTTAAATATAAAAAAAATTCCATTTTGAATGTTTACCTCAGGATGCTGAGTTTCTTAGTGGTGCGCGTTTTGATTTCTCCTGGAGAGGCTGCATTATGGAGTCAATATAATGCCACATATATATGCAAAATAATAAAGTTTTGCAAAAGAAAATAAAGTTTTGCAAACGAGTGAGCTTCGCTTCAGCAGCGCAACCTTATACTGTCAATAGATGCATTATATATAGTAGCTATATGTTTAGGGGTAGGGTTGGGGTTAGGGGATAGAAAAAACAGTTTTTACAGAATAAAAACCATTACACCTATGAAAAGTCCTGTAAACCACACATACCAATGTGTGTGTGTGTGTGTGTGATGCAATACTAGCAGTACAGTTTTCACTTAGCTTGCAAGGAGACTTAAATTTAAATCAGGAAATGAACAACAAGCAAAACTGCAACTTAATCTGACAGCCAGTGATCATTCACCATACATTTTCATTTAGTTCCATGGGAAGAAAGTCATACAAGTTTCTTAGGACATTTGATATATTTTTCTCACCATGTTTCTCAACAGTAGGCTATATTTTAATTGAGACCGGTGCTAATCAGTGCTTATTAAATTCAAATGCACAATTTTAAATTATTATGAACATTTTTATTGAAATGAACTAGAATACTGTTACTAAAATGAGCGTAAGTGATGCAAGTCAGGGCTTATAAACTATTAGGAATCATATTATACACTGCTACAGCTGCAGCACACTCCAATCATTTCTCATTTTCCCATTCCCCCCGTCTGATTGGAAGAGGTGGAGGTACTGGTCTGCTTATCTCTAATGATTGGAAATTTATTCCTTTACCATCTCTGGATATCAGCAGCTTCTTTGAATCACATTCAGTTACTGTCACCCACCCTTTTAAAATCAATTTTGTAGTTGTTTATTGACCCCCAGGACCACTAGGTAACTTCTTGGATGAATTGGATGTGCTGCTTTTAACCTTTCCTGAGGATGGTACTCTCCTAGTTATGCTTGGAGACTTCAACATCCACCTAGCTAAACCTCAGGCTGCAGACTTCCACACTCTGCTTGCCTCTTTTGATCTCAAGTGAGTATTAACTACGGCTACTCACAAATCAGGCAACCAACTGGACCTTATTTACACACGACACTGCTCCACTGATCATGTGCTGGTTACTCCACTGCACACCTCGGATCACTTCCTCCTCACTCTTAACCGCAACATGGTTCCTGACACAACACATACCCCTACACATGTCATCTTTCGATGTAACCCCTAAACAGTTCTCATCACTTGATGCTAACTTTCTGCTCCACTCTGACATCTTGTTTAGACACTGTCTGCCACATCTCTTCCAGGCCAGCCTGTACCACCCCTTCTGCCCCTTGGCTATCTGATGCTCTCTGCGAGCATTGTTCTAAGCTAAGGTCTGCGGAGAGGGTGTGGCAAAAAATCTAAAAATCCTACTGACCTTTGTATGTATCAGTCACTTGGGTTCTCTCATTTTAAAGTTCATATACTTTTGTCACGCTTTGTCCTTTATTGCATATTGTTTTTATCTTTCTTATTGTATTGTACTTTATTGTATATTGTTGTGTATCTTTATATTTATTGTCTTTGTAATTTATTGTCTGTTTCCCTTCTACCCTGTTTTTCTTGTGAGGAGATAACTAAGTAGGCCTAAGAATTTTATAGTGCCTAGTACATATGACAATAAAGATCTTGAATCTCTCCTCTGTTCCTTCTCTGCTAATGTCTCCACTGATAAAAAAAACATACTACCACAACACAATTAACAATTCATCTCAAAACAACTCTCGCATGCTCTTTCCTCCCTCCTTTGTCCTCCTTCATCATCTCTAACAGCTGAAGACTTTACAACATTCCTCATTAATACAACTGCAACCATCAGTGTACAATTCTCCACACCTCAAACTGTCAAACACATCTTACAAGCAGACACACACTCGCTTACATCCTTCTCTTCACTCTCTGAGGCAGAAGTCTCTAAACTCATCCTTTCTAATCATCTTACTATTTGTCCGGTTGATCCTATTCCATCTCATCTACTTCAAGCCGTTTCTCCTGCCGTTGTACCTGCACTCACTCACATTATTAACACATCCCTTCACACTGGTGTTTTTCCCTCAGCATTTAGACAGGCTCATATAACCCTACTACTTAAGAAACCCACCCTTAACCCAATTATTTTAGGGATTTACAGACCAGTTTCCCTTCTGCCTTTCATTGCAAAAACACTTGAACGAGTTATGTTAAACCAAGTCTGCCTTTCTCACACAGAAAGACCTCCTGGACAGCAACCAGTCTGGTTTCAGAAGTGGACATTCGACCGAGACTGCCTTGCTCTCAGCTGTTGAAGCCCTAAGACTGGCAAGAGTGGATTCCAAATCTTCAATACTTATCTTGCTGGATCTGTCTGCTGCTTTTGACACGGTTAACCACCAGATCCTCCTGTCAACCCTATTGGCAAAGGGCATCTCAGGAACCACACTCCAGTGGTTTGAGTCTTATCTCTCAGATAGGTTCCATCCAGCAAGTGCATCAACCATAATTCCTCCCAGGACAGCCAAGAACCTTGAAGTTGTGATTGATGACCAGCTGCATTTCACAGACCACTTTACTAAAACTGCCCGGTCTTGCAGATTTGCTTTATACAACATTAGGAAGATCAGACCCTTTCTTCCGGAACATGCTACACAACTCCTTGTTCAAGCTCTTGTTCTGTCCAGGCTGGACTATTGCAATGCTCTCTTGGCAGGTCTTCCAGCCATTTCTATCAAACCTCTGCAGCTAATCCAGAACACGGCAGCAAGATTAGTCTTTAATGACCCAAAAAGAGCTCATGTCACACCTCTGTTCATCAATTTGCACTGGCTATCAATAGTCGCTCGCATAAACGGCATTGATGTTTGCCTACAAAACAACCACTGGCTCTGCACCCCTTTAACTAAATTCAATACTTCAGACTTATGTGCCCTCCAGAAGCTCATTATATTATATATGCACATTATATTATAGTGCCATCCCAAAGAGGCAAAAAATCACTTTCACAGACTTTCACCTTAACTATTCCCAGCTGGTGGAATAATCTACCCAACTCAATCAGCTGATTCTTTAGCCATCTTCAATTCCATCTAAACTTGACCCTCTAACACTAGCACTCTCTATTCTATTTCTATTCTATCTACTTGTTTTCTTTTTATTTATTAAAAAAAACTTGACATTCTAAAACTAACACTATTCTATTTGTAATCTACCTACTTGGTTTCTTTGTAGTTATTATAAAAAAATGTGACCCTTTAACACTAGCGTTCTTTTTCTTTTTCTATTTTATCTACTTTTTTTAATTTTCAGAAGAAGAGTTACAAAGTTGGGAAGAAGGACCATTGCACTTGGCAGATGTACAACCCCTGGGATGAACCGAGATGGAAGTCTATGTAAATAACCATAAATGGGTAATGCCTATTGTAATCATGTCTGAAGAAATGCTTGTTTTTCTAGCAATACTATCAATTTAAATACTTTCTGTTCTGCAGCGAGTAACAGATTGATGTAACAAATAACAACTACTGGTTCAGACCTAATGAGAAAAAAGATTTCCTTTTAATGGTGGCTTCCAGAAGCTGAATTATTGTGGACTTGAGCAGCCAGTCTCTTTATTTACAGTCATTCCGCCAAATCACGTGTAGCTATAAATAATAGAAAGCTATTAAGCCACCAGAACTGTATGATTATTGGTGATCAACAATGCAGCATATGGTGCTGAGATCTAACACTATTAGAAGTACAGAGAGACCAGATTCAACAGCTACTAATAAATAATTTACCCCTTTAACACAGCAGCCTCTGTGCTTTGAACGGCTCTAAATAACAAGTGTAAAGATCTTCATGGGCTTTAGGGGTAAAGTGAAGTTGCCGGGTGAATCACCTTGCTAATGGTACTGAACAGAACTTTTGGGCAATGTGCATTTCTATTAATTCACTCTGAGAAATATTTTGTTCCTGCAGACTTGACTGCATGCTGACAATTACTGAGAGAATCTCTTAAATTTTTATAGGAGGTTTGCAGCTTGTCTCTCTTCCTCGTATTCAGTTTTTCTACAGATCTGCCTAAGAGCATTATTACTATAGCATGACTGAGGCTGAGATTCAGGATGTTTAAGTCTGAGTGGGGCAAAATCATTCATAATGTTCAAGCATACAGAATTAAATTACAACACTTATCTCCTCTGTGCCTCAATAATAGTATATAGTGGGCAAGCTACAACTTTAGCATCTGTGATAAAGCAATACAAAAATACACACACACAGGTATTTATCTTCTGGAGGTTTTGCCTCCGCAAAATAAATAAAATAAAATAAAATAATAGATGTAGACAATTATTATGACCTTTTTTAAATCATACATTGATTGATTGATTGATTTGATTGATTGTATTAAAAAATGATCTGATGTTTTGTAACAATTTAGAATCAGAATCAGAATCAGAATGAGCTTTATTGCCAGGTATGTTTACACATACGAGGAATTTGTTTTCGTGACAGAAGCTTCCACAGTGTAACAGAATGACAGTGACAGAACAAAAAAACAGATAATAAAAAATAAAAATAAATAAAAAATAGAACAAGTAAAATAAGGAATAAAATATATACAAATCGACAATTGTATGTACAGGTATATAACAATAGACAGTAGACAGTTGTATGTACTTTTGTATGTCTTATAATGACTAATTAGACTTATTCACTTTACGTCTGTGTGTGTGGAACATAGCAGACTCAGGGAAAGCAGAGGGATCCATGTGCAGAGATTTATTTGTAGCAATAGGGCAAATCACAGTCTTTTAATCTGGGTAACACAGTCCAGGGTCAAACACCAAGAAAACTGTCCAATCGGTAAACCAAATCCAAAAACACACATCCAAGAGGGTAAACGATGAGAGAAGTCAGATAATCCAAAAACAAGGCAAGACACATCAATGAAAAATATCAAATTTGCAGACCAGGCAAACAACACTTCACAAAGTACAAATGGATGTTACAGTGTGTGTCATCCATTACAGGGTTTGGCCTACATTATGAGGGTTAGGCTTGTGTCCTCATAATATAGTTTGTACTCAGGTTTCAGGTCTGTGTACCTCCATTATGAGGACATACAGTAACATTAAAAAAAAATTCAAAATGTTTTCTGTGAGGCGTATGTTTAGAGTTAGGGAACAGAAATCAGATAATATAACATATCATTAGTTCAGTTTAAATACCATTATGTCTTTGGAAGTTCCCCATAAATCCATGTAACACAATGCTTTGATGATAAAGCGCAAAATAATTTTCTCTTTATTTCTGACATATCTGCTCTGTATGTTAAACATGTTCATACTAAATAATATATACAACCAGAGCAACATATGCTTCATTGAGGGACAAGCTTGGTAGAAGAAGACCATCTGCCTCAAAGCAGGTTATTGACTGAAGGCTGGAAGCTTGTGATCAATAAGTCAATTAAAGCTGCATTAGGCCAGACATGGGATCCAGTGCTTGAGCTGAACTTCGTTGCAAGGCCACAAACTCCAGAACACACATCACAAAATCACCACTGTGGAACACAATGTGCAGAATGTCACGGCTGTCATGAGAGGAAACTGTGTAGCACAGATTTTAGTGGTTTTTCTCTGCCATGGTCTTCTCCTCCATTGGCTCCATCATAGAGGTCTCCTGCTCCTCTGTGCCCCTCACCTCAACACTTATTCCACTCCTCTTTGCAAATGTAATAATAATAATTAACATAACCGGAAAACAGTATAATGCAACCAGGCCCAGTTCCCTTTCGAACGTTCAATTCACCTTGTGTATGGGGAAAACTCCTGTTTTACTCTGTACTGAAGCCTGATTTGTTCACGTTTGTGTAGCTGCACAAACCAATGACGCTTTAGCCCGCCAGAAAGGGCAGAGCCGACGTGTAAATAAATCGGCACGCAGCGCCATTCAACAGATCATTCTCCTTCAGCGACGAGGATCATCTCTTCGCTGATTCTGGAAGAAACCAAGAAGAAGCAGAGGAAGAAGCTCCAGCTCTGCTCGCCACCGTCGAAGACCCCAGAAGCAGTGAAGCTTCACTGCGGCTATCCGGCGCTTGAAGAGCAAGCCAGAGCATTCCTAAAGAGCAAATTTCTCAGCGCGCGTTATTGCAAATGTCGCGCCACGGGTGTGGCTCATGCAAGGAACCCTTGCATGAGACGGACGGGTACGGTGAGTGCGTCGCCTGTCTTGGCAGCGCCCACGCAGAGGCTGCGCTCACTGAAGGCTCATGCTCCCATTGCGAGAGTATGAGTCTTTCCCGTCTCTGCTCGCGGATCGCCTTCTTTCACGAAGGAGCTGTGCACAGCGACAGATCTGGCTCTGCGCGCCACGAAAGCAACGGCGCAGGTGATTGGCAAGACCATGGCCAGTCTGGTGGTGCTGGAGCGCCACCTATGGTTAAACCTTACTGAGATCAGGGACGCTAAGAAAATGGCCTTCCTCGACTCACCGGTCTCGCCGAAGGGGCTTTTCGGCCCCGCAGTGGATGGGTTTGCAGAGAGGTTTTCGGAGGTTCAGAAGATGTCGCAGGCGCTGCGTCACTTCCTCCCCAAGCGTTCTGGCCCCGCGGCTGTGAGCCGCCAGAAGAACCCCGCCACTCAGCCTGCAAAGCCGGGGCAGCCTCAGCCCCAACGCAAATCGGAGCCTGGGCTCCAACAGCGCTCCCGGACGGCGAAACGCTTCCCCTTCCCGAAGCATCAAGGTCCCCGCCCACGAGTTGTGCTGGACCCAGAGCCGCCTAAGCCGTCCTGATGCACCAGAGAGAAAGAGGACGGGCTCTGTTCTCGCCTCGGCCGGAACACCCTGAAAAACAGCTCGCTTTCATCTTCCATCCCTCCGAGCACCTCTGAGCAATGGAGTTTCGTTTCTAGCGGGTCACGCCCTGCAGGTGCAGTGCATACCCGAATGTTTTACCGCTGTGATAGCGGACCCACATACAATAAATGAGGTTACTCGCTCCAATTCGCTCGCAGGCCACCTCGCTTCATCCAAACTTCTGTTCCGGACAACAAAGCACTCGTTCTCCGATAGGAGGTGCAGACGTTGCTTGCAAAAGGCACTGTGGAAATAGTGCCCCCAGCGAACAGCGAGTCAGGCTTTTTCAGCCGCTACTTCCTCGTCCCAAAGAAAGATGGCGGGCTCAGACCCATTCTGGATCTCAGGCGTCTGAACCACTCGCTTAAGCGCCGGTCGTTCAAGATGTTAACTATAAAACAGATCCTCGCGCACATTTGCCCCGAGGACTGGTTTTTGACTGTGGATCTGAAAGATGCATACTTTCACATCCACATAGCCCCCATCACAGACCTTTCTTGAGATTCACGTTCGAGGGAGTGGCCTATCAGTATACAGTCCTTCCGTTTGGACTGTCTCTGGCCCTTCGTACTTTCACGAAGTGCGTAGACACGGCTCTTTCCCCTCTGAGACAGATGGGAATCCATGTTCTAAACTACCTCGAGGATTGGCTGTTTCTAGCCAGGATAGAACGGGTTACTCAGCCACTTGGAGCACCTTGGGTTGATCATCAATCCGCACAAGAGTCAGTTGTTACCCAGGCAGCGAGCAGTCTTTCTGGGAAGTATTTTAGACTCCGCCCAAATGCGGGCATGGGTTACGCCGGAACGATCCATGACTTTTTAAAGATTGGCGGCGTCCCTCAAACCGGGGACGACACGCCCCCTAAAGGTTTTTCAGAGGTTGCTGGGCCTTATGAAACGCTTACAAAACGCTTCCCCTTCCCGAAGCGTCAAGGTCCCTGTCCACGAGTTGTGCTGGACCTAAGCTGTCCTGATGCGCCAGAGAGAAAGAAGAGGGGTTCTGTTCTCGCCTCGGCCGGAACGCCCCGAAAAACAGCTCGCTTTCATCCGAGGCCGCTGCCTCTGTGATTCCTCTGGGCCTGCTTCACATGCGGCCCCTTCAGTTTTGGCTCAAGGCCCGCATTCCACCCCATGCCTGGTGCCTGTGGCAGCTTCCTGTCAGGGTAGACCACCGCTGTGTCAAGGCTGTGGCCCCCTGGACGACATCTCACCTGTTCCAAACAGGAATGAGGTTAGGCAATACACTACAAGACGGCTTTACAGCCAAAAATGTTCGGTTTTCCTTATCTGGTGTTCAGCACGGGGTTTGGACCCGATATCATGTTCAATTCAATTCAAGTTTATTTGTATAGCGCTTTTCACGATACAAATCGTTGCAAAGCAACTTTACAGCAAATTAGGTTTCTACAATATTTAGTAGTAGCTTATCAGTGGTGACTGTCAGTTAATAAACATATGGCAGAAATGTACGGAAAAATCAATTAAAGACGTAATCAAACAGACGATGAACACTATTAACAACAATTATTATATGATGCAATCAAACTTATAGCAAAATGTGGTAGTTCTGTATGTTGTTTCAGGGTTGGCATCATCTGAGGTCCTCTGAGGGGTTGGCATCATCTCTTCTCAGGTGTTCTGGATCCAGACTGAAGCATGTGTAAATCCTAGTTACCACGGGATGTCAAACAAATAGAGACATAATTAGCGTAGCTGCTGTTCCAACCAAGCAAAATGTATTTGTTCAACCCAAACTAAAGAATAATAATGTGCATTTGATCAAATATAACTGCAGTACAAGATTATGAGATGCATTATTTGAATGCTTGGCCAAAGAGATGTGTCTTTAATCTAGAATTAAACAGAGAGAGTGTGTCTGAACCCCGAACATTATCAGGAAGGCTATTCCAGAGTTTGGGAGCCAAATGCGAAAAAGCTCTACCTCCTTTAGTGGACTTTGCTATCCTAGGTACTACCAAAAGTCCAGAGTTTTGCGACCTTAGGGAGCGTGATGGATTGTAGCGTGGTAGAAGACTAGTTAGGTACGCAGGAGCTAACCCATTAAGGGCCTTATAGGCAAGTAATAATATTTTGTAACTGATACGGAACTTAATAGGTAGCCAGTGCAGAGACTGTAAAATTGGGGTAATATGATCATATTTTCTTGACCTGGTAAGGACTCTAGCCGCTGCATTTTGGACTACCTGTAGCTTGTTTATTGAAGATGCAGGACAACCACCTAGCAGTGCATTACAATAGTCCAGTCTAGAGGTCATGAATGCATGAACTAGCTTTTCTGCATCAGAAACAGGTAACATATTTCATAACTTGGCAATGTTTCTAAGATGGAAGAATGCTGTTTTTGTAACATGGGAAATATGATTTTCAAAAGACAAGTTGCTATCTAATATAACACCCAGATTTTTGACTGTAGAGGAAGTAACAGTACATCCGTCTAGTTGCAAATTGTAATCCAAGAGATTCTGTGTACTGTCTTTTGGTCCAATAAGTAATATCTCTGTCTTATCCGAATTTAATAGGAGAAAATTATTGGTCATCCAATCTTTTACATTTTTAACACACTCTGTTAGCTTAGATAATTTAGAAGTTTCATCTGGTCTTGTTGAGATATATAGTTGAGTATCATCAGCATAACAGTGGAAACTAATCCCGTATTTTCTAATAATATTACCAAGGGGCAACATGTATATCGAAAATAGCAGAGGACCTAGGACAGATCCTTGTGGCACTCCATATTTTACTGGTGATAATCGAGATGACTCCCCATTTAAATGAACAAAATGGTAGCGATCGGACAGGTAGGATCTAAACCATCTTAAAGCCTGCCCTTGAATACCTGTATAGTTTTGTAATCGATCTATGAGTATGTCATGATCTATAGTGTCGAACGCAGCACTAAGATCAAGTAAAACTAGCAATGAGATACAGCCTTGGTCTGACGCAAGAAGCAAGTCATTTGTAATTTTAACAAGTGCAGTTTCTGTGCTATGGTGGGGCCTGAAACCTGACTGAAATTCTTCATAGAGATAATTTTTTTGCAGGAAGGAGCACAATTGAGCAGACACAACTTTTTCTAAAATTTTAGACATAAAAGGAAGATTTGAGATGGGTCTGTAATTTGCCAGTTCACTAGGATCTAGTTGTGGTTTCTTAATAAGAGGCTTAATAACCGCCAGCTTGAATGGTTTTGGGACGTGACCTAAAGACAACGACGAGTTAATAATATT